AGTTTACGTGTAATAATATTTTTCAATGCTGAGAGAAGTGAACTGCATTTTCAATGCCTATCCTAGTAAATAATTAAATTACTCACACTCGTTACAAAATAACGCAAAATGATTTGAGCCCCATAGAAAAAAGGGGAGAAGTATTTAATTATACATTTAATATCATGTTAAGGGTGGTGTACAAATCAAAAAGCGAAATGTTTGCAGTGGTACATAATTAAAAATTTGATGGAACCAGCAACTGCAGCCAATTCCATATTTTAAAATGAAAAGAACTTCAAATAAAGTTTTACTTTGGGTTGATTGTTCATGAATAAAATATAGTTCATTATTCCAATAAAGAGAAAGGTCTCTATTGAAAAATTTTGGAGGACATTTTTTAACAATAATTGGCAGTTTGTAAAAACTAGATTTTATAAATTTATATAAACATAATAAAATATTTGGCTTTTTATTTCTTTTTATTGAAAACTGTAAATTATTGGCCAGTTGAATAACATGAATTTAATTGATTAAAAACAAAAATTAAATGATTTTAATATATTGAAAATTATAAATGTTGGCGAAAGGTAAAAATGAAATATCCGCTTAGAAACAGTTGCCAGAAGGGCCTTCCTCCATCGAAACGATTACAATCTTATCTGAGACTCAAATTTTAGTTTCTGTATGCATGCAAATTTTTTTTTTCAAGCTTTCTCGTAAGAAATAAGAAATAAAATTTGAAAATATCGTAAATTTCTCATTCCAAAAAAATGTACATATTACATATAAAATTTTATTGCAATTGGAAAAAAAAACTTAATCCAGGTCTAAACTTTGTTCACAAAAGTGCTCACGCGGCCTTTATTTTTGTAAACTTTATTAAGTGGTAACCTGTGGCTTTTATTTATTTGTAACATATACTTCGAAGCACAAAAATTGTTTAATTGAGAAAAATATTAATGCTATAGAGTTTTAAAATTTTAGAAAATCAGTTTTGTAAGACTTGTAAAAAAAAATAGATTTAAAAAAATCTATTTTTTTTTTTTTTTTAATTTTGTAAAATCTCAGTGTATCTATACTTATATATTGTTATATGTATGTGAACTTCAGTAGAATGCCGATGTTCTTCTATACTGCTTGCAGTAAACTGAAGAACTGTTTGCAGAGTTTATTTGCATGAAAGCAATACATTCATAGCTATAATGATGTCAGTATAATACTATAATTGGTAATATATGTATAACATAACATAATAGTGCCATATGTATAATAAGTATAACATGACATAATGTAGATACTTTTAATAGGCTTAGTTTCCATTTTTCAGCTCTACAAAACTAAATAAATTAATTTTTTTATTCATTTTATTTTATTTTTCCTTTTTTTAAAGAATTTTGAGAACAATTAAAATTCACACGTAATGATCAGATGAAGTATACACTTTCTTTAGAATAAATCAAAACTCCAGGCAAACGTTCGTAAAATTATCATGAAATTATTAATGAAACAAAACATAATTTATTGCTATGCCTGACGAAATTAACAGAATTGTTATTCTCAAACTATGAATGAAAAACGTCAAAATTAATTATAGTTTAAGCACTTAAAAACTTTAGAACGTAAATTAGATTGTAAACATTTTTTATTAATTATACCATAGGATCTGCAAGAGAGTTAATCTCAAGAAAATTTAACCTCAATAAAGAACGTCTAACCTCAATAAGTACACTGCATGGTTCTAGAAGGTTTGGTCTTTTACAGAAGAGGTCGGTTTCGGAAACTAATGTTCAGTACCAGTATTTCTTTAAATTCTGACAAGTGGTGATCATATTTTAAGGTGGCATCTGAAAGATATAGTCATGAAGATATTATTATATTTCATGATAAACATTTTGGTTAATAATATAACAGCTTCATTATAAAATGCAATTTTCTTGAAAATATAATTAAACATTTATGTAAAACTGAGAATCTGCGAAACTGAAATTTTTACGTGGGCAGAAATAAAGAGTTTTGCTTTAATTTCTTTAATTTACGACTGAGAAGAGTTAGACATATTTATCTAGCAAACAGTCTTTTTTATTTATTTCTTTTTCTGTTTGAAATCAAGATATAGATCGTAGGTCAAGAGAAAATTAGATGGGATATTTTGATAGTTAAAATGAATATTCAACATGTCTGAACATTCGATAGAATATTAACGATTTGGTATGAAACCCTCTACATCCACTCTAGTTCTAGATTAATACATAAAAATAAAAAGTACTTTTGATTCGCTCATATGCATATAGCCCTTTATCATTTGAATGAAAAAAATGTTCAATTACAATATTGCATTTTTTAATTTTTTTTAAATATTGCGTTACATAAATTATTAATGCCAATTTGCAGTTTTTATAAACGTACTGGCGCAATGATGCATTTTGTACAAGTGAAATAATTCTCTATAAGTTGTGTTAACCTGATTTTATGCCGCACTTAGCAAATAAATAGGTAATGAGAGCGAAATCAAAAATTGGGTTTTTCACAGCGAGCATCGACAAAAAGATTTCCGCACTCTTATGAAGGCTGCATTTTTTATAAGTATGCAGTCGCCATTTTTGGAGACTTCGGTTTTTCCAAACAGAAGCCATTTTGAAAAGTTTAAGGTACGTTGAGAAAATCTCCCCATTTTGACCACTTGCAGGTGTTAAAATGGAATCTGAAAGATCAAACCATAGACGTACTTTATTTTAGCACTTTACATTAAATAAAACCAGAAACCTAATAAAAATTGAGTTCAAAAACGAATACTACTAATATTAATAATAGAATAGTTTACGTGTAATAATATTTTTCAATGCTGAGAGAAGTCAATTGTCTCTTCGATGCCTATTTAATAAATAATTAAATTACTCATACTCATTACAAAAATAACCCAAAATGATTTGAGCTCCACAGGAGAAAGGTGATAGAAGTATTTAATTAAATACTTAATATCATGTTCAAGGGTGGATCTCAAATCAAAAAGCGAACTGTTTGCACTGGTATATAATTAAAAATTTGATGAAAGCAGAATCTGCAGCGAATTCAATGTTATAAACTTGAAATAAAGTATTACTTCGGGCTCATCGTTCACAAATAAATACTAGTTTATTATTCCAATAAAGAGAAAGAACTCGATTACAAAATTTTGGAGGATATTTTTAGGAATATTTGGCACTTTGTAAAAACTAGTTTTTATAAATTTGTATCAACATAATAAAATATTTGGCTCCTAATTTCTTTTTATTAAAAATTGTATTTTATTGGGTAGATGAATAACGCACAATTTAATTGGTTCAAAAGTAAAATTAAATGTTTTTAATATATTGAAAATTATATAGGCTGGCGGAGGTAAAAATGAAGTATCTGCTCCAAAACATTTCCTGATATTTATAGAATAACGTGGAAAAATGTTTATTCCGAATTGCCATAAAAAGCTTTAATCAAGGTGAAGTTTTTTAAAAAGATATCCAAGATCTTACTCACAACAACTATATTCGTTTACAATAAACATTCGTATTCTATAGAATACGAGTTAATTAAAAGTTATATATGAAGAAATTAACGTATTTAGTTTTTTCATATATAACTTTTAATGTTAACAATAGGTATAATCAGATTCTTCACATTATTTTGAATCTTACATTATCAAAATCAAAGGAATGGAACCATTAAGATGAGAAAATATTAGATTCATTGCAACACTTCCTGTTATTCTCAGCTCAATAGAAAAATATGTACACTTGAATGCTCTTAATTCGCTGGTGTTAGTAAACGCATAATAATCGACGCTAATTTTAGCTTGAGTCATTTTTGATAATATACCATGAACTTTAATCCGAATATCAGTGCGTGATCAAAATGTCGGAAACGAAATCTTAACAATTAAATAAATCAATAAAATGAAAGCATTGCGAGATTTCCTACTAAAATGATAGCGGTATTTATACACCGTATATTTATAACTGCTAAATAGCTGCTAAACAAATACAATAAAAAACGTAAACAACAGCATGATGTTACGTCATATGCGCAATTTCAACGAATCATCGTCACAAGAGCAATTGAAGCCCATTGGCCATTATTGAGACCCCTCCCTCAGTGGCCATACTGATAGGCATTTATAAACAAATTGTGCATCCGGCGCACGTAGTTATACAGATTCGCTCCCGTACACGTAGGTGGCGAATTATATCCTTGTCTTTATACCTTTCTGAATTTATTTAGCTGTAAATTGTTTTTACTGGTGCTTGTACTCCATCGAGTTGAGTACGTAGGAGAAGTATTTAAGGAAAAGGGAGAAATACAGACTTTTAAAGATGAATTATCATTGGCTAATTGATGCTACATCGTTGGAATTCTTGGACTTGTCTGCTTGCGAGTTTCATGAAAAGCCAAATACGGCGCTAATTTCTGCACTGGATTTATGCGTAACCCCTCGAAGGTATTCCTATTTACCCTTTATACAGGATCGGGAGCATTTAATTGAGCACTGGAGAGTAATGGATGCATTAAGGGAAAACGTTTCTTCCTCTCGTAAAACTGATACAGCACTTTCCTCCCCAATCAAATTAATTGAAGTTCTTATTCTATCGGAGCAAGCCGATCCTGTCTTAGATGCTTTGACGACCTGCTTTTTCAGCGATTATTCTAGGAACGTAATGGAAAGATTGTCAGCATACTGGGAAACGGAAACAATCAGAGTCTATTTAGAACACGTGAAGATGTATTTTCACAGCACAGAAAAATCGTTATTTGCATTTCCTGCTTTCTTCGATCATGATCCGAATATCATAACATTCGAGAAACCTTGTATAACTTGCAACAGAAGAGAAAAGTCATTGTTCATGAAGGCAGCAATGAAGAAAATAGCAACTGAATTAATAAAAATGATGCAGGATAAGGATTGTACAGATTCCCTTCTTGTTGCGGAAGTGTTTGATGCACTGTGCTTTTCGTGGATGAGTGAGTTTTTCTTCAGATACGAAGCTAGAAGAATGGATTATATTTTTCATCATTTGAAAAAAGCAAACTATTTTTATTTTACTCATATTGTGGATATTCTTCAGAAAGATGGACAATATAACGTATTGCTTCGAAGCAGTCCAGACCACTTGTTGGTGCTCCTCAAATACGGAATTGAGATTAAATACAGCCCAATCTTAAGACCTTATCGATTTTATCAGTTTCATTCAACGGAGCAGCTAGAGCTAAACTGGTAAGTCTTTATTTTGATAATGCTTTCTTATTTTATATTCAAATATTTGGCATCCTCTAACAGCCAAAGCAAATTTATGTTGAAAGAGTAGTTTATTTTAAGAGTTATCTTAGATAAGAGTGTAATTATAAAACAATTTATTACAAAATTTTATTACTTAGTATTTATTTAATTTTAGTATTTAGTAGTCCATTTAGTAAAATCTGTTAAAATGGAAAACACGATTCTTGCTTGGTTTCATGATTTAAAACGACTCGGTCGTCGCTTTTTCGGATAGCCCAAACTTTCCTTTTACTATCGATAGGCAGACTTTTGCCATCGATAATGAAATGGCCGTTTTTTATAAATTACGAAGTTTTTAATGTTTTCGTGTGGGAACTTTGTCAGAAGGAAAATTAATATCGCGAAACCTTGCAGTTTAAAGGAATACATTGCAATATGGTAGCAAAAAAATTTTTTTGTCATTTTTTTTGCTACCATATTGCAAATTTCAAAAAAAAAAAAAAAAAATTTTGTCGAAGTAGAAACTGTTAAAAAATTTGCTTATTACTATAGAAAATCATAATCATTCGATGATAAGAGTATGTTATGAAGTATGTTATGTATGATACGAGTTATGAAAGTAAATGTAAAGATAATGTATGTATGTATGTGAAGTAAATAAAATCCTCTAGAACGCAAACACTTTATTTGGTTATCTAGTTGAAAGTTTGGCCATTTTGTTCTATTTGTTCTTAAATGCTTATCAACATAAATTTTTATTAATTTTATTGCCTAAGATCTAGTTGATGTTTCGAGATCTGGTCCAAGTTAAAAAAAAAAAAAAAAAAAAAAAAAGAAAGAAAAAAATGTTTATAGACGTTCATATTCATTAATTTTGTTGCATAACGTGTAATAGAGTTCTGTTTGATTTTTATTTGGTTTCATTGTCAGCTATTGCATGCTTTTTTTTTTAAATAGCTGATGCTTTACAAAACCTTCCATACTATATTAAACATTAAACAGGGTATACTATGATAGATTTGAAAATTTTTATTGTTTCTTCAGAAACTCAACAATTGCCTGGATGACTACTGTATTTTTCATCTTGTCTTAATGTATAAATGCAGTCTGTTGATTTGAAATATAATAATTTAACAGTCAGTGTGTAAAGAAAATTCATTCTTTAGTTTTATCACGAGCAACATTTTTCAAAATAATCTTATAATTAAAACAGGTTTTCTGAAGTCTATTTCTTTCTTTAGTGATGTATAAGTCAATGCTGCTTAGCTTGTATAATATTACATTACTGTCTATTTTGACTGGTACCAGTAGGCTAGCAGATAAGATAGCTGAACACTATATGTTTGATCCAGGTACAAATTCTGGTGAATGGGATAGCTGATTTTCCTGTTTTTCCTTATGTATTATGTGAATACAAGTCAATTTCTCATAGAAATACCTTCTCAAAGGCATCCTTTTACCTAAGGTACATAGCTCTTACTGTACGTTACCTTGTTTTGTGTAACTTAGCATAGCCATCAAACCTTAATAATTTTAAATTTTAATACAAAATGACAAAAAAAAATTGTTTTTGCTACCATATTACCACAACAAATTTCGCAGGATGCACCAAACTGTGTCAACCATGTGTATGTGCAGATAACAATTCTTCAGTTTTTAATAAGCAGCATCACCATTTTTGTATGTTTTTTTTTCCTCCTCTTTTTTTTTTTGTGTGTGCGTGTGTATTTGTCCAAGTTACAATGATTTTTATAACTCATTTTTATTTTTATAACAAATCACTTTTTTAAATGTGAAATTAATTTTAAAATATGCACTTGTGGAATTTGTCTGCAATGGATGAAATAGTGGTATGAATAAAATTCTGAAAAATAAAGCTGTATCAAATTATAAAGTTACAGAAGAATGGAATATGCTATGTTAGTTGAATTTAAATTACCCGGAATCTTTCTCCCTTCGCTGTTGCTATACCACCAAAAGAAAGCCAATTATGAACTGCATCCTGCAAACAAAAACTTGCTTGTAACAAGGTTTATTGATTTATTGGTACAGACTTTAATGGCATATTTGTTACCAAATGAATCTAAAGCAAACCAGTATGAAGGGTAGTTTTACAGGTTAATTTGTTTTCAAAATTAGCAACTCTGTAAAAGGGATCATCCAGCTGTACTGACACTGCATGTTCTTTCTCATAGCTTGTTATTTGGTTGTAACAGGCAGTTAATATAAAAACACTTGTAACACTGCTTAATTTTTATGTATGGTATCCCAGTTACATGACTACAACATTTTTCCACTACTTTTTTTACACTGTAATCTTAGTTTAGAAAGTTATTTACCAAGATTTTGGGATGTTGTATAGGAATATCATATGGAACAACTACAGTCAAATGTATTGTTTCAGAAGAGAGTATATACTCTTACTGAACCTTTTCCTGCACTTATTGTTTGATTTGATATTTCCTGTATAGTGGAATGACCATCATGAAAACATAGCGTCCTGTAGCTCTTTCTATATAATTCCATTCAGATATTCACACTTTTATTTTTGTAAGTTAATGCAGAAGACAATACATATTTACATCTATTTCTGATACTTCCAATTTTAAGGAATAATCATGGAGTCTATTATATTTTTAGCATCTTATATAGAAGATGCTAAAAAAATACTTAACAGGGAGTTTAACATTATTCAGGCAACAAAGGAGCTGAGGTTTATTGCATTGTTAACAATATGTTAAAACTCATACAAGCATTTATTTCTTTTATTATAGATGTAAATCAATGACCAGTTCCTAAAGTATTAAAAGATAAAAGTAAAGGAAAAAATTCTCAGTTCATAGTGCCAAAGTATTTTGTTAATAATTGATAAAATTCAATTAAAAAAGATATTACTCATGTTTATTATGTAGAATTGATGCTAAAATTCTATATTAGAAAAAAGTATCGATTAATTGTGTTAGGTAGAATTAAAGCATAAACAGTCGGGCGGAAATTTATTAAATGCATAAAACATAACAAAAGCCAGGGCTGTATTTATTCCATCCATTTCAAAAATTGTGGCTTTGCTATCCAATTGTCTTCAAATCTGTAAATTCAGAAAAAACTGTAAAATTGTAATTTTTTAGAGAGAAGCATTTCCATCCTCAAAAAAATTAATGTTAAAAAAGAATTGAAATACAAAATTTGTGCATTTTATGCAGAAAGTGAAAAGAAAATCATTATTTCATTATAATTTTAATCATAAAAACAGATCTGCTTAATATTGTTTTTTATAACAAAAGCAATAGAATAAAAATATTTCTTTATTTTAAGTATGTCCAGTGATATTAAAAATAGTTTTAAATTTTGATTTTGACTTGAAGATGCCCCAGAGGAGTTGCGCGATATCTAAAATTTCTCTGAAACTTAGTTTGAAAACTTTAAAACTACTTGAAAACTTCAAATTATGTGAAAAAAGAAATGTAGATGTAAACAGCAGTGATTAAAAAGTTTTAATGACCAAAATATTTTCATTCCATCAGATTATTTGTTTATTTTGAAGACGACATTGTAGAGATATTAGGATTTTTTTGGAAGCTGAGAGACGTGAAAAACGAGCAATGCCCTTCCCGCGACTAGAAACATGGACCTCTCGAATATGTGCCGAGGCATGCTACGAAGGCAGGAGAAATACCTTTTAAAACAATCCGATAATGAGATAACAAGTAGAAGATAAGAATTTTTTTCTTCTGGAAAATTAAAAAAAAAAAAAAAAAAATCATATTGCATATATACAAGCCTAAACCATAAATTATAAGATGTATAAAATTCTTGGATTATCTAATGTGGGAAAAGTAATAAATGTAAATATTAATATATAAGAAGTAATAAATGTAAATATTTCAATAAATGAATAGATGAAAAATGGCCTTAAACAACCTCCATGTTTTAAATTAACTTAGCGAAATTAATGCCAACAAAAACATTATTTTGGAAACAAATGTAAGATAAACACAAATTGCTTAATGTATTTAATTTGAATATCTGTTTTGGAACGAAAGGTGTAAACAGCCTTAAGATGTGCTAATAACTCAGATTTGTGTAATGCATATATTTTTATTTCCTATGGTAGACAAAGTATATATATATATGTACATACATTATCAAATACACATACAAAAAAGTATATCACACACTTAATAACAAACAGAGAATAAGGAAGCCTATTTAGTGCTTGAACATACTATTTAGTGCCTTCCAGTAACAGCCACAGAGATCCTGTACAAAAAAAGCCATGCATTTCGCAGGTGGTGGAGGTTGTATCTTGGACATTTATTACAAAGGATGATCACAGAATTTTTAAATAGAAAGGTTTCACTGAATAATGACCAGGTAAAAGATAAGTTATTATGATGGAATGGTAGGGTATGAACTGCGCCAAATTTGATCGAAAATCCCCGTCCCCCTCTTTTTTAATCCACGAACTGCGCGACGTTTCCTGTCCCCCATTTGTCTCCAAGAAGATTGGGTGCTACAAAAAGTCGTTTATCGCCATTAATGGGACATTCTATTAAGACTGCAAGCCTTTATTTTCGTTTATCAATATTGTAAAAATTGTGCATGTAAAACAAATATTAATTTAAAGTCTGGCATGTGCTAAAAAATAAATTTCTTTTACACTCATTTTAAAGTTTTATGATGCTTAAAGGAATGATGAGCCAGATCTTTTTTTATCTCTGTAAGAATTAAAAACTTTCCAAGTTGTAGATTTTGTTTTGTCGCTGATATTGATATATATATATATATATATATCAGTTTTGAATAATAAAATTGATAGATTAATGGCATACACAAAACTTATACATAATCAACCTATCAAATATCGGATTTGTAACTCACCTTAAATAAGTTTCTTGTCTAGATAAATATTAACAAATCTTCTTAGACAGCAGAATGGTTTTAACTTTCAAATTTACCATTTTAGGTAAACAGTTCTAATTTAATTATAAAAATTA